AAAAAGAGGCTCAAAAATATGCTTTAGCTTAAGCATATTTCTGATAAAATATACCTATTTCAATAATTTCTAAAAGTGTGCACGTTACTAAAGTTCTAGCAGATTTTAAAGGTATGTATATATTTTTAGAGTCTTGTTTGAATACGCTTTTCGAAGTATAGATCTTAGAAAATATTGTTTTTTAATTTTAATAAGATATAAATTTGAGTATAAGATTGTATAGTTCAATCAGTTAGATACGTGATAATTCGCCGCAGAGATTTGGGTTCGCATCCCGCAGCCATTGTAACTTTTGTTCATCAAACTCTTTTTACTTAAGATAGCATTTTTTGACCTCCATGTTCTATATTACAGATCTTTCGTCACCTTCACAATAGTGACAACCTCTCTTCTGTTAGTTATTCTTTTAAGATTGAGTTCATTGTGCTTAATTCAACACGTTTCCTTTGCTTTACTAAGTTCTACTTAAATTATGATGAAATGTACGTAAAACAACTTTTTCAAATAATATAAATCATTTTGCTTTAAATCTTTTGCTTTTTGTACTAGACATCTGTCCTAAATACTTTGTAATAATTTCTAGCTAACTCTGAGTCTAATATAACCATTTCTGAATATAATTTCCCTGAGGCTCCTACAGCCTATTGTGTTCCATTAAAAGTAACTAGTTTTTGAGTCCAGATATTAATTATAAGCATCTAAAGGTTCACATTACTATTCATTTTCCTGATATATAGAATCCTATTTGCATACGTATCTCTTTCTGTAAGTTCTGTTTTATATAGTTTCTTAATTATATATTAAATAAATATTACTATTCACTTAGTTGAATGAACGTATAGCTCATTCAGTTAAGACATTTGGCCGCGTAGACCCAGGTTCACATCCCGCTGTTTCACATATATTTCTTCTCTTTTTACTCTTTCTGATATCATTTACCTTTAGAGAGATCTCTCGTTCTTTATAATAAAGTATTTAATTGTTTATCACACATCCTCTTTATACTTTTTAAAAAGAAAGGCATACTGTTTATCTGTTCATTGAGAGTCCAACTTAACGGGATTTTACTTTATATATATATATATATATGTATATATATATATATATATATATATATATATATATATATATATATATATATATATATATATATATATATATATATATATACATATATATACAGTAAAATCCCGTTAATGTATATATATATATATATATATATATATATATATATATATATATATATATATATATATATATATATATATATTAGGTATATTTGTATAAACATTTGAAGAATCATTTGACAACATTTTTTTATAATTTTATTATTTATTATTTAAACTGTTAACAGTTAATATCTTAAATATATCGTAACATAAAATCTTTTGCGTCTTTTTCGTAACTACACATTCCGGAATGCTTTTTCCGTATGGAACTATTTCGTAAGTATTCTTACGAAATGATTTGTTTCGCAAGTTTTCTTTCGCAATGCTTTATTACAGAATTTTATTTACTATTTATATTTTCGTATAACGCGTTACGGAATGTGCATTTTTGCATGTGCAACTTCCGCAATAACAATTCTATTACGGTAGATAAAGATGCGAAATTTTCGCAAGTTTTGTTTTTCGGCGAACAACCCTAGTTGAAATACTTTCCTCTAATAACCGCGTGCATTTAGAGAACGCGCTGTTTCAAGTTCAGAAAAGCCTAGGAACTTATTAAAACTGCTTTAAAAACGAAAGCGAAACGACATTGAACATTGAACATTGACTTCTAGCAATTATATTGTAGATGAGTAGTTAAACTACAACTTAATAGACAAAATTTGTAGACTTTCCGGTGAAAAATGAGCTAGCGACTAGCTAGCTTTATTACAATTTTCAAGCGATTTTTTTTTCTTATTTTAATTTTTCTTAATGTCTCTAACATCTTTAAAAATTCAATTCTTAGTATTGAGTCTATTATAAATATTAGAGCTTTAAACAATGCGATTTTTTAGCAATTTGTCGCTAGCTACAAAACGTAGCTTTGTAGCTACAAAATATGTATAAATCTATAGCTGTTTGATAGCTACATATCAAAATTTTTTAGACAGCAATTTTATTACGATATGACGCTAGCTACAATAGCCAGTATCTTTAACTTATTAAGCTAGCTGTCCTCGTAGCCAAATCACTGTCTTTATCATTACAAATATAGCTTTTCTTTAACTTAAAAAAGTTAACGATTCTCGAGGCCAAATCGCTGTCTTTATAGTTACGATTATAGCTGGCTATTCGCTAGCCGATTTCCCACTGGATTTAAACTTATAATAAGGTACTTCAACATTTGAGCGCGTAATATCGATAATCGATAAAACACGGCTAAAGAAATAAGATCTGAGTTTTTATGCCGACAAAATAGTTTGAGGTGTATGTTCTTCCATCGTTCAACCAATGCATCGTTTGAACGTTGGAAAAACATACACCTCAATATTTTCGGCATAAAAATCATCGTGATGACTTAAAATATTATAAATTTTTATTTTAACCACAGCTTAATAACATTACCAAAATATTTTTTTGAGATTTTTGTTTTTAGAGATAGGGTCATGGCTTCTTCTACCGCAACTTTAAAAAAACTTTTAACAGTTTTTTTATTTAACTATCAGTTTTCCCTTTTGTATCAGAGCTTTTGATTTGCTTTACCTCGTCTGTAATCCAGAGATGTCCCAATCTTTTTTTATTGAGAAGGGTGAGGGGAAAGGAGGTATACCTCATTATTAAGTAGAGACAAAATGAAGTTTGATTCAATTTAAAATTTGAATTAAATTTACTTTCTAATCGTTACGACTTGTCAGATCCGCAGCATAAAATAACTTAAAGATCCCTGAAAATATAAATTTTACTCCATTTTTTATTTTGTTGAAAATAAACGTTTTATGCCTGTTATTATTTTGTTATAGAATATTCTTTAAATTTAAAAGAAAGTTTACTGGGTTAAACAAAATTAAACAAGGACAAAAAGTGGCAGAACAACGATTAACTATTTTTACATACATATTTTACATACGTATTTTACCGTACCATCATGATTTTGTCTTTGTTAACTTACTGGATCGTACATGGAATTGTTATGAATTTTCATCGGGCAATCCTATTTGAAGTCCCTATATTTTTCTTTTAGACCCCGTTTTCTTAATTATTTAAAGTTGTTTTTAGCATACTCGACTTTATTTTTTTGGTTTAAAATTGGCGTATTTTTCATTAGTTTAAGGAAAATAAAATGTATTAAACACATGATTATTGACAAGTTTAATTATTATGAATAATTTAAAAAACAGACTTAGATTTTAAAATGTATTTACACAATTATAAAACAAAGATTTGATTCATAACCATTTGACATTTGATGTTTTTCTGCGATTCATATCCAATCTTCAACATGATTCGTTATAAATTTCTGCTTGAACTTGTAACGTTGTCTTTTTTAGTGCTTGCATCCGCTTTAAATTTAATAAAATAAAAACAAACATAAGCACAACTTAATAATTTATTACACATATACTTTTACAATATAGTAACATCATATATACAAAATGGTCAAAACTTATAAACAACATGGTTAACATGTTACAATAATAATTATTTTTATTGACGAAAAAGTTCAATACATTAACAACAAACCATAGTTACATAGACTTGAGTAAGAGATTTTTTTTATAACTTTGCGAACTAAAATGGAACGAATATCACAGCGAAAACTTACACTTACAATTTATTAAAACATGTGGCACTTGATTATTATGGACCAAAACTCCATTAAAAGTTTCATGTCTTAAGATTTGACATTTCATGATATTTAATTCACAACAGATTCTAAATAAAGTATATGAAACGCAATTTATCATTTTATTATAAATAGACAACTTTCAAATGTTGCCACAGTATTATTACAATTAAAAGCATCTTAAAGGGATAACTATAGGGAAGGGAAGAAGTAGGAAACAATCAACTAATTATTTTTTAATGCCTCGTATTAAATCATCTAACAATGTAGGAAATTGAACAACTCCAATCCATAACAAATATCTAAAAAAGTAAAGACATAAAAATTGGTACATTAAATTGCTTGAATGCTAGTTCCATGTACCACCGTAGTTCCATTGGTAATAACATGGAAACATTGCTTGACTATTAGCGGCAGAAACGTATTATAAGAAATCGACAATTATTGGAACAATCGGGGACATTTAAACGAGGCTAAATAAATGAGACTGATCTGTTTAGACAAAACTTTTTAGAAATAGTTAAGCTTACTAAGTTTGATCCAGTGCTTTTCGATCATTTCCATTATTGTAAACAGCAAAGTAAAAAAGACATAAAAAACAAACATCTAAAAAAGTAGTGGCATAAAGATCAAGGAAAAAAATTTTAAATTCAATACACATTATCAGAATCGCAAACAAATAAAATTATAAATCTAAATTTGTGCGTTTTCCTAAGCGCAAAAACTTAGATTTAGACTTTTTTTGGGAGAAAAGAAAGCTATATATTTTTTTGTAATGTTTCATGCCGCAATATACTATGCGCACATAGGAGTGCCAGATTTAAGACTTTCAGGGGCCGGGGGCTATTTTTATTTGACACAAAGTAACCATAAACTAAAAAGAAATTGCAGTCAAAATAATTCAAACGTTTTTATTTGTAAATTAAAAAGAAGTAAACTTTAAGTTTGGTTTTTTAAGTTAACAACTAAAATTTAATGATTTAAGATAAGTTAAGAGTTATCTTTACCATGTTAACAGATTTACGTGTATGCGACTAATCCTCAATTATGTTTTATGACTAAAACCTAACTTGGCGGGGATAATGTTAGGCGGGGGGTTGTTATTTATATATAATGCCGTAATCGTCTATGATTGAGCTCAATAATTCATAAATTAAATTACAGTTAATGAAAAAAACCTTTTTATGCATCTAGTATTTGACTGAATGTCGAAAAAATATTAGTTTCTACAAGCAAATGCCACATAAATGATTTAAGTTTCGTATGAACTTAAGTTATTTATTGTCAAGAACCTCCGTTTTACTTGTTCAATGATTACTTTTTTTTACTATATAAAGAAACACGCCTATAATATTCTAATATATTCATTTGAATCTCAACTAGAAAATGATGCAAAAGTGTTCGATTTTGATTTTTGTTTCTATACTTTGCGTAAGTTTGTTTCATACATATATTTAATTAGTTATAATATAATATCATTATACTTAATATAATTTAAGCTCTAATAGGAAGTTATAGAAATGAGTATTATAAGTATTTTTGAAATGAGAATTGAAATGAGTATTATTGAAGTATTTTTGAAATGAGTATTATATACCATTCACATTAAATATAATTTTGTTTTTAGATTAGCGATGCATATAATTTAGGAAAGTATTTTAATTCGGAGAAAGGCTTACCGTAAGTATTTTAGGTTTTAAAAAAATATACGATCTTTTGCATAAACAGCTTTGTTTACTTATAGACAGGGTCTACGACACGGGTTTTGAAGTGGGGAAAGGGGTAGGGAGAAAGGCGGGAGAGGATTCACAATTTTCAATTTCTAAAAAAGTCCTTTAAATCTTGAAATTTCTAAAATAAAAGTACAAAAATGTATAAAAAAAGTCCTTTATAAAAAAAATAAGGAGGGGTTGCAATGCCCCTCCGTGGCGTCGGTCATGATAGATGTTTAGTAACTTAAATATCATAGTATTGATCGACATTTGTTTAAATTTTGTTAACCTAACGAGTTTGTAACAGTTTGTTTGATTAAATTCTAAACAAAATGAAGTCAACAACATACAACGAAAAAAATATATAAAGCCATTTGGTTAATGTTTTTTTAATTTTGAAAGGATGAAAGTTCTGTGAGTGCTATAAGAAAAAAATGTTTTTGTTGCTGTTGTGAATAAATGAACGTTCTGTGAGCGCTTTAAAAAGAAAATGTTTTTTTATTTTTGATAGGATGAATGATCGCTCTGTGAGCGCTATAAAAGAAAAAATGCTTCAAATTAAAGATCAATTTAAAGAACTTGAAATGGTATGTTAATATCTGATACTTCTTGCACTCTGAAGTACACCAATAATTATTTCTAGTAATTAAAATATTAAATACTTGTATAAATATTAGTAATAAGTATTGTATTCAAATGTAAATTAATATAAATACAGCTTAAATAGTACCTATTTAAATTTATAGATTTTAGAATTAAGCAACTTTTAATCATTAGAAAAACTCTAAATTTATATAACTCTAAAATTATGAACAACATAAAAATAAATATGCCCCCTAAATTACACGCTCTTTGACTGTTATTTTCTAAGATCATTTTTAAGATCGGATTTGTTCGAGTGTAGTATGAGATTTATACTCCCGTGTTTGGTAGATATCCAAAGTTTTCTCACCTGGCTTTCCAAACCTTATAAAAAAAAATTTAGCGAAATATAGTCTTGATAATATATCACGACAATTGTTTTGTCACGGCAAATGATATTTGATAATTGTCTATTTTTTGATATTATTAAATAATATTTATACCAAGTATTTCCTGGCATTATATTTTATTTGATTATTAAATAAAAAATGTAAATAATTTTAGAAAATATAACTTATAATATATAATCATAAAAATTATTTTTTAAATAACAAAATTTTTATTCACAGTTTGTTGACACACTAATTAGTGAAAGGGAAAAAAAAAGTGAATTTGAAGATATCTTACCATATCCCGTTTATCGTGATAACTACAAGACGTATAACCGTAATATGAAAAAGTAAAACATTGGTTAAGGAAAAGATAAATCAAGTCTCTCGAAAAACGTTTTTTATTTAACAAAATTTTTTATTTACCCTCAGAATGTTAATTGTGCTGTTTTGATTGTTACCTTAACGCATTTAATGTTTTTTCAGTCAAAAATTTATTATTATCATAAAAGAATTAGGGTATTAGTATTTAATGGGTTGTTTGATTAAAACCCATTATGTTTCAAGCGGGCTTTTTACTCAAAACTCTTGGATCACAATCGACTGGCCGCTTTTGTATAAATAGTAGTTTTTTAGGATAAAAAAACTATAAATGCAGTAATTTGACAATAAAGGTTGCTAGCTACATTTTGCTTACTTTTTTACGCAATATTTAATAATTTTGTCTTTAAACTTTTCAACAATAAAAGAGCAATAAAGTTTAACTTAATTAAGTTCTGTTTAACGTGAAGAAAAATTGATTTTTTTTTACGATAAGTTGTTTACTTAGTATCTCAGCTACAGTTAGTTTCAATACAATGATAAATCTACAGCTATTCGATTTCTACTTATCGTAACTTTTTAATAAGTTTATATATATGTATTTATGTCTAGAGTAATTCAACAACAAAATTTGTTAATTTATTATCTTTTGAGATTAATTTAGGGCCATGGCTTTCCCTACCACGACTTTAAGAAAACTATTAACTTCAAAACTTTCTAACTCCAAAACCATAACAGATTTTTATTTAGAGTTTTCGAATTAATATTTTATACTCAATTATTAATTAGTTTGTATTATTCAAATTTGAATAAAATTTTTTTTTAATATTATTTTTAATTATTTGTAAGATTTAGTACGTTTCTTCACCTTCCGTGATAAAGCACCACCTACCATAATCGATTCTCCACCTATCGTGTATGAAAAAAAATCGTATATTTTAATTTTAGTTGTATTTCATTTAAATCAAATACATAAACTTAATATGATTACAAAACAAAAAACACATCAATTCTAAACAGGGCCGGCGCGAGTAGGTGTCACGTAGGGGGGGTGGGGGTGGTGCCATTACAACTTTTGCCGACGAAAAAAAAAACAAAAAAAAATATGGTCCTCGTTTTCCAAAATTTGCCGACTGTCATAACGACATTTACCGACTGTCTAACCTATATCGAAAGGGTCGACATTTGCCGACTAACTAGTCTAAAACGGTCCAATTTGCCGATTAAGGGTCCAGTTTGCCGACTAAAAATCATTGGTGGGGGGGGGGGGGGGGGGGGGGAAGGTGTGTGACAACCCCCCCCCCCCCCCCCCCCCCCCCCCCACACACACACACCCCTATCGCGCCGGCCTTGATTCTAAAATTATCCACCAAAGATTTTTTTTGAATTTAAGGTGGTAGTATAGTCGAAATTCTAAAATCGTTTTTTTTAACCAAACAGTATTGATTTTTTTATAAAAAATCAAAAGACTGCTTAAAATCATAAAATTGAAAATACTACTAGTGTGTCAAATTTTACCCCCAAAAAACACCCTTTAAAAGTCCATAACTCTGTCGAAATATAGTATCAAAAAAATATACTACTTCAATGAGTTTATCATATATATTATTACAACTGTACAAAATTTTAGAGAAACATATCAAGTAGTTCCTAAGTTATTTATCGCACAGTGCTGAAAAATGTCGTTCTGAGAAAACAGCAATTTTAAAAAATTAACATTGAAAAAAACAAATTAAAATATAAAATAAGTTCTCATTCTATTTTTAAAAATTTCTCTTCAATGTATTAACTAACAACAATATTAATAAACTAAGTTTATAATGAGTTTAAACTATTTTTTTAAGTACATTAAAAAGGTTAGTATCCTTGTTAAAAAAAATATAAAAACATCAAACTAAAAAAAAAAATTATGATAATCAAATTTAAAATTTTAAAACTAGTAGTTATATCAATTCAAATATAACAAAACCACACAAAACTGCCAGAGCTTTAAGCTACTTCTTAACTTTCTTCATATTGATCACTATAATCTTTTTATTTTGCCCTTATTCGTTTCCGACATTGCTTCACCTCATCAGTCAATTTTTTTTTATGCAATATTTTTAACTATTTGACTACCTCTTTGTTTGCAAAATGTAATACAGTTTTTGTTAGGATTTATACCAAGCTCTAAATAAACATTTAACAAACCAGCTAATCCTTCATTGAATTTAATAACAGCTGATGCTGCACCTATCTCTAAAGCAATTTCCCCCACACAAACATTTTTTGGACTCCGATATTAAAATATAGCATTTAAGGCTTCATTATTGTTTCGAGCTTTTCCATGAAGGCACTTTTTTAACAAACTTTTATCTGATAATCTATGAATACTAGTTATGTCCCTGATAACAACAGGCAGTTCAGGTTTTTCTTTATAAACATTTGTTTTATCAATTTTATATTCTTTATATTTGCAAATAGTTTGAGGACACATAGCATATCTTACATCAGAAGATGATGTCTCAGAGTAACTAAATAATACAGCTTCAATAGCTTTTTTTAGTTTATAAACAGATTTCCCACAACATTGTCAAATCGCAATTCAAAAATAATTTTGTAACATTGTAACTACTGAATGTAATTTTATATCGAAAAACTTTTCAGAAGTTTTACTTGCAACTTTTCTACTAGTATAGAGTTTTATTTACCATAAAATTTTAATGCAACTCAATAGCAACAAAGAACTTAAACCTTTTTTATTTTAATGATCTATATTAATATTGATTGAATTGCTCTCACAGTCAGGACATGTTCCAACTAAAGTAAGAGTTTGTACAATTATATCAAGATCAATTAAAATAAAGTTAGAATCCTTTTTTATTACTTTGAGGTTGTAAAATAGTTTCCTTATTGGCAATAACATTGCTGGTTGATGTTGTAAAATTAGGTAAAATGCTAAAGTTTTAGCATTTTTGTCAATTAATGACTATTCTTGGCTCGCAGAAGTATCTTTATTTTGGGAAAAAATTACCAAACTTGATTTTTTGAAGTGCTTTTTTTTTTAACCACTCTTGAGGCACCAGTTTTTTCTTCTTCTTAAGGCTTCAGTTTTCATATTAACTGATTAGAAATAATAAATTTATTTTAATCTACACTAAATAATTGATAAAACAACAATGAACAATTATACTCTAGGCTAAAGTCTAGCTATATTCAACATTAGTAACTGAAATAGATAAAATGTGTTTATGTAATGATAGTTACAAGATAACTGCTTATAAGTGCTGGTTTTAATGTTTTTGCGGCAAAAAAGAAGCTAAGTTCACTTAGTAACTTCTCAAAACGTACTATAGAATATACTTGCTTCAGCTGAAGCAACTCCCTGATCAGGGAGTTCAATGAGATAATATACATAGTGTTTACCTTGTTGCTATGCCGTTGCTAAGAAGCAATATTCTATAGTACTTTTTATATAAAAAATAGACGGTTTTATATAGAATAGATCAAAAAATAAATAACACAACATCAAACCTCAAGTGGAGCGCTCATATTCAAACAGTTGTCTCTAAGTCCTTACAAATTCTTGGTATGTTGAAAAAGACATTCACTTTCATTAATGAAAAAAGCAGCCGTGGCGCAGTGGTTCAAACTCCACCTCTGGGCCATCGGTTGGGAAGGAGATGTAAACTTCCTATTAAATGCTCTTCCGCGGTACTCTGTGATAAGACCGTAAGGACTTCTTGGGGCACCTTAATCAATAAAAAAAAAAAAAAAAAAACGGCTCTTAAATTATATAAAGTATTTATAAGACCACATCTTGAATATGGAGTGTCCATTTGGGCTCCTTATTTAAAAGCTGATATGGCTTTGGTTGAATCTGTTCAACGCAAAGCAACAAAATGGGCTTACAGCGTCAGGCATCTATATCACTTGAGTTTCGACGCCTTCGATGCGATTTAATCCAAATTTTCAAATTAATCCATCGTTTTGATATAGTTAATGATAAATATCTACCAAAATATATTAACTCCATGTCTCGTGGTCACCATTCTAAAATAAGGCGTGAGTATGTTCCAAACTGTCTTCCAAGATATAATCATTTGTATAATAGATCAGCAAAATACTGGAACGAACTACCAAAGCAAATAACTTTGTACTCCACTGTACTTTCCATCAAAAATAGACTAGACTCCTGGTTGTGAAATAAGTTTGGAACAAATATTTATAAAACTGGTTGTTTATAGTGGGGTGTTTTCCCTGCTCGCTGTATGTGTACATTCTATGTAAATTTACGGCTACAACTATAATAATAATAATAATAATAAAAACACTATCGTTTTCATCATGAATGAAAATGTCTAAAAAAGTTATAATCAAAAAATCAAGTTTTTGATTATAATATATAAGTTTTTGACCATACTACCACCTTAAACTTTTTTTTTTATTAAATTCTTTTAATGTTTTTTTTTTTTTGTCTTTTCTTTTATTTTTTTTTGTAACAGCTTGTTTTCATCTATAATTTTTCTTGTTTTTCTTTTAATTTTTTTTTTTCAGCATCTTTATTTTTACGCTCAATTTTTTGATATCTTCTCCTTCCTTTGCATTTTCTTTTGTTATTTGAATCTCTAACCATTTGAATGAAGTTACAACATTCGGTAATCGTTCAACTTGTTTTGGCCATTGGTTGTTTTGGCCATTAAAAAAAGTCGTGTAATGGGTTTACATCTTTTGTCATTTGTTTATTTGAATGTTGGTGGGTCTGTTGCTGATTTACTTTCACGGTATTCATCAATTATTACGCTTTTTCCGAATTCGCTAACATTACTAAATAAATTTTTATTTTGCGTACTGCTAATATCTTAAAACAATTCTTTATCGATTTGATTATTTCAATACATTTTTGTTGTCTTCAATTAAATTACTGGTTTGTTTGGAGCTATCGTTATAGGTACATTTTTTCTGTGAATTTCATTAAAATCGTTATCAAATTGAAATTGCCGACAAATGTTCTGCCTTTTTTTTTCAATAATCCAAAAACTGACACATCTAATGGTTGTTAGATGTGTAGCGCTACACATCTGATTCTCATTTGATTTCGTTGTTTCCTAATGCTATAGCATTAGGAAACAACGAAATCAAATGAGTTCTTTCCGAAGAGCAACTTTCC